TGAGAGCCTGTTGGCATGGTAACTGGGAATGGTGCGTTCCTATTGGCTTGCCAGATGAAACGATGTGCCTCCATAGCACAGGACTCCCCCAATACAGGCTCAGAAACACACAACTGTTCGCCGTCACAGCCGAGTGTTTCTGATGTATGTGCGTGTGTATGTGTGCGTGCGTGAGCTTCCCTTTTTGTACAAATGATGTATTAGTGTGTGATGCTGGAGCCAGACTTCAGTAGCCATGACTGTAGACTGTTACTGTACTGTCGGACTCCATAAGCAGTAAGCAGTCTAGAGCCAAGGTCATGAAGTTCTGACATGCTTGAAAAGACTCTCTTTACTGGCATGCTGGGCAAGACCGAGACCATTTCAGCTCACTGATGGAAAGACAAAACCACTGTAATTAAAGAGAGCATTACAAAGGCAAAAGCACTGCTTCAGTAGGAGAAATCAGACGCATAAAATGGCTTGTTTCATGGTTTTGTTGGAGCCGGATGTTCTCGGGAACATTGATTCCCTTGAGCTCCGCTGCTGGGTCAGTGACGTAGACGCTGTTTCCAACCTCTCAGAAAGTTGCCTTTACATATTGATTCTGAATATGATAAAGAGTAGTCTTTTATTCATGTGACCAAATGATTTATGATAAATAATAGTCTTTTATTGATGTGACAACAAGCTTAAATGCATTTAGTTCTGAAAAAGGAGGACGCATGCTTGGAAATGCACTGGCTGCTGTCCATGGTGCTGAAACCTCTGCTTTTATATATACAGTGCTCAGCATATACGAGTACACCCCCTGCAAATCTCTTATTTAAATTAATATGTTCTATACGATGCTTTACAATATTAAATTTGTGCATATATATTAGTTTAGTCAGAACTGAAGCCAAATCTGGAGCTAATCTTAATAAATAACTTACAATAATGGCTCAAAAATGAGTAGCACAAATTTATATGTAAATTAAATTTTTTTTAAAAAATTGCAGAAATCACAAGAAACAAAAATATAGACAATTTTGTTGATGTTTTGTTGTTTGTATTTTGTATTTTTTCATTTGTTTGCAATATTTTGCATGAATTTAAATGGATTTCTTTCCATTTCTAAAGATGTTTTGTGACTAAAATATTATTTTAATAAATATACCTGTTTAATAAATCTGTTTTGTTTAAATTCACCAATATATATTATCCATATTTACTGAGAAATGGATATAAATAATAATTTTAAAAATGGGGTGTACTCATATAGGTATATGCTGAGCACTGTAGGCAACTGTATAATTTCTTGACACCCAAAATATATACATAAAGACTCAGTTTATACAGTGAAAATGTAATATTACAGTTTATTCTGAAATATTATTTGAATTATATTTAATTTTTCTTTAGTACAATATTTTCTATAGCAGTGCATGTACATAAATAGTGCATATTTGGAACATTAAATGTATTTTAATTGCATTTAAGCATTTATTTTGATCATTTTTTATGGATATACTCTTTAATAATTGTAATATATGATAATTGTAGTTGGTATTCATTGTTTTTCATATACTAACACAGTTCAAATATATATATATATATATATATATATATATATATATATACATATATGCATTTACTATAGCACCCCACTTTGAGTGACCTTATTCTAAATGACGACCCATTTACAACCTATTAACAGTCCTAGTATATTAATGTTTAAATGTATTACTTTTTAAGTTCATATTAAGCCTGGATTTGTTTAAACATATATTTAAACTTTATAGTTAAACTTAAGGTGGTGACATGAAAAAAGTCGTTCACTGTAATATAAAATGTAAAGAGATCTCGCAGAATCAACTTTCATTGTTGTACATAAGTGTTATTTGTTTTTAATGACTTTTTTAAAAATCTCAATTCAATTGTGTACTTGTTTCTAATAAATATATGTATAATTGGTGTCGCTGGCTGTGCTGGTTCAGTTCTACAGTTATTAATTTATCCAGAATGAATAAAGATGTCATCGTTGAATGAAAATGAACGCCCACTCGCTTCTTTAACACCCCCGCAAAAAAATAAAAGGTGTGTGTGTGTGTGTGTGTGTGTGTGTGTGTGTGTGTGTGTGTGTGTGTGTGTGTGTGTGTGTGTGTGTGTGTGTGTGTGTGTGTGTGTGTGTGTGTGTGTGTGTGTGTGTGTGTGAGGCAGAGCGCGCGCTGTCTCTTTAAAGGGTTACAGTAGGTGACTACGAATCATCTGCAAAGTGCGCAAGAGTGACGCAGACCTGACTTCAACGCCTGAATACACGTCACAGAATCTGTGTAAAAAAAAAAACACCGGTAAACGGAAACGATAGGTAGGAAGGAAATTCATAGCCTACACTCGGGAGGGGAGGAAGGAGGGAGGTAAAACAAAAAAACGACTGAATTTAACAGTTAGAAAATAAATCGATAGTTAGGTGAGGGCATGGACCGGAAAGAAACGGGAGGGGGGAGTTGCCATGTCCAGCTAATATCTGCGACTGTGTTGTAAAATTTACTCTTAGTTTAGACGATATTTCGACGATATTTGGTGTGATTTAAGTCTTTAAATTGTTTAAACAATTATGTTAAGGAAGATAAACGGTGGGTAAATTGTTAAAAACGAGTCTACAAGTGTTTTACAGAATCGTGCCTAATGTTTTTTTCTGCCACGATCTGGCAACACCGCGCCGAGACGAGAATCATCTCTACAGGAAACCTCCTGGTGTCACAGATTCACAAGAGAGTTTAACGCGAAGGTGATATTGTATATTAGATTTATTCAGTAATGAATTTTATTATTGAAATATATATAAAAAAAATTAATAAACCAGACAAAGGCAACAGTACAATATAAATCTTTTTCACACATTTTTTTCTAACGACCAAAGTACTATTATTTAAATAAATGTAATATAGTAAACAACTCTATTTGTTTCAGCAGCAAACTAGATAGTTCTCTTTAAAGCGTCTTCATGCTGCCCACGTGCGAAAGAAAGTGAGTCACACTGCAGTAAGTTTCAGGTCGTCTGCAATATGCCGTACATCTTTTAATAAGCACGCAAAAAAAATCAAACTTATGAGACTTTTTGGTATTTGGCAACCATCAACCCATTTCTAAATGACATTCCGCGCTCCCCTAATTGCATTTTCATCCGAATTCTGTCAAATCACACTTACCTTGAAATATAGGATCTCCTCGTCAAAAATGCAGTCTGGTTTCTGACGGCTGTCCGTTTTCTAGCGCCTTGTCTATTAGATGTCTTCGCTCCAGTAGGAGGATGGATCGGTGTGTACTGCGTAATGAGAACTTCTCTCTCGCCTCAGTGTCTCCATATGGGCCACTGTCTGTCTACAGTCGTCACGCTCGTCTTGTCGTCTTTTTCCTGCTAGAAACAAGCAGCTCTCAAGCGCTTTTCCATCTACCGTGCGCTTTTTATAGAGATCTGATAGTACTAGTAAGCTGGAGAGGGAGGGAGACTCATTCACTAAAAAGCATCACCTACTCAACTACGCGCGTGCACTACGTCATTGACGGAATTTTGTCAACGGGGCTGCTATTTATAAAGACCAAGGAGAGTTTGGATTCTCACAAAGCTCGGTTAAACGAGCAATGAATGATTATATATAGCCAGTGGATGCTTTTTCTTTCTTCTGAACTCGCCTGTTAATCTCTTAAAATGTATCCTACATTTATATGCAAGAAATAATGCTTGCTCGTTTTGATGTAGAGGGGAAAATTAAAGGTAGTCTACTATCTAAATACTCTATATGCCTATACTATATATTAAAGGCATAGTTCATCCAGAAATTAACATTTAATTTGGGTTTAAACTATAGGGCTGTGCCAATAAACAATATTATATTATAGACTTTTTTTTTTTACTCTATATGGATCTAAAAGCCAATCACACAACAGAAATGTGCTAAAATGAGAATCTAAAAGTGTGTTCATGTTAGAGAATTTTCAGCCACTGAATATTTTCTGGCCGAAAATATGTTGCGACATTTAATGGACTCTTTATTTTTGTGGCTTCAGTCATTGTTGGGGTACTCTTTTAATTCTGGAAGCATTAACAACTGATATATTGATATTGAAATATATATATCACGATCGTTCAATATGGAAAATAATTATCAAGATTGCATTTTTGTCGTGTCACCCAGCCCTGGTTTAAACCCTTATTGGTTTCTGACTTATGTTAAACACAAAATAAGATGTTTTGTTGTAAGCTGGAATCTTGTAACCGTTGATATCCATAGCAGGAAAAACAAATAAGAGTCAATAGTTACAGGTTTTAAGCTTTCTTCAAAATATCTTCTTTTGTGTTCAACAGAAGAAAGTCTCTCTGGAAAAGGTCAAGAGAGAGTATTTGATGACAGAATTTTAATTTTTGGATGAACTTTCTCTTTAAATGATGGGAATGATCCGTAACCAGTGTAATATTCACATCAACTTTTGATCTAATTAGACAATGATGGCGTCTACTGAATCATCAATCAAGTGCTATTATTTAAACCAGAACATCCACACAAACTTTTAGGGCTCTAACACATTCTAATAACCTTCTACCTCCAAATCGCAATTATATATGCTAAATAAAAATATATAGAACAACTCATTATCAAAACACATACTGGTAGTTTTGCTGTTAAAGAGATAGTCCGTGCATATATTAAAATTCTGTCATTATTTCTCTTCCTCCACTTTTTCCAAACCTGATTGAGTTTATCTGCTCGGCTGAACACAAAGGAAGATATTTTGAAGAATGTTGGAAAGAAGCAGCCCTTGACTTCTATATTGTTTGCTTTTCCTAGATGTCAAGGGCTGCTGCAACATTCTTCAAAATAGCATCCTTTCAAAATTCAGAAATTTATGAAAGTTTAGAACCACATTCAATCTCCACAATCAAGTGCTATTATTTAAACCAGCATAACATCCATGCATCTTTTAGAGGCTGTAACATTCTAATAACCTTCTACTTTCCAAATTGCAATTATATATGC